AATATAATCCACTCTACAACCCTCATTGCATACTCCTACGATAAAAATAATGCCCTAAAATATAATACTTTTAGACTATTCTATGGGGGAGAGAATAGTGATTCACTTTCTTACAAGAAGCATAGTAAGATAGTATCCCATAATATTTTTTAATATTATTTTTTAAATTGTTGAATATTTTCTTCCTTTCCCCAAGTCATCCCACATTTAATCGATTTAGAACCAGCACCTGGAGGAGAAGCTCCATCAGTAGCCAGTACTGATGAATTTCATTTTTTCTGCAATTATCTTTTTATTATTCAATCTAACACAGGGTTGGGTTCCCCCCTTTGCTGTTAACATTTAATCCGTTTAGAACCAGCACCTGGAGGAGAAGCTCCACTAGCCATTACTGATCAATTTCTTGAAGAAACTCCCAAACTGAAGGCTGAGTTAAAAGACCACTTTTCAGATCCAGTTACTAACCGGAAACCATCCAGTGCATCTAAGGAGGTGCCAGAAAAGAATGGTGAGTAAGAATGAACATTTTTCTCTTAAAAGGAAGTATGTCATAAACAAGTCAGGTATAGTTGAAACTCTTATGGTTCCACAGAGGCAATCTTACAAGCTAATTGGTATTTTCTATCACATTGCAGGGGTTCCTTAGTTTTGGTGAGGATCAGAAATTCAATCTAATCAATAGGTCTTTCAACAAAAAAAAAAAAGGATTTATATTTATCTTCTATAAGTATCCCACTACAGACTTATGCTTTTCTAATAATGACAGAATATTTTAAGTAGCTCCAAATTGTCTCACATTCAGTAAGATTTTAATACTTTAAAATACTCTTTCACTGGTCTGTAATATGTACCTGGAATCACTTCCAACTTAAAAATTTACTGCAGAGAACTTTCCAAAGCTACTCTTTGAAGACAATTGCTACAGAGCCGTCTATTGCCTTCCAGGTTATAATCTCTTTTATGTAGTAGGTAAGAATACTTCCAGCTTCACTAGTGGAGTTCTGCTTCTGATGTTATTTGTCTTTATGCTGATATTCTGTCTTTTTGATGTGATATTTTCAGAAACATCAACATGTCAAATGTCATCAACCATTCTGAATCCTGTCCATAATGTTTCCCAAACTCCCACCACCATCTTCATGGAGACCATACGTTTCTTGATGAAGGTCAATGCTGTGCAGGTCAGAATATTTTCATAGACTGTAAGTACATGCAAAGATTTTGGTGGACTACTTAAGTCTATCCATCATGGTATCTTTTGAAGCTTAAATGTACTAGAAGCTGGAGTTAAATATACTTTTAAGAGTATATCCTAGGCCCAATGAAAAGAACATCTGAAGATGAACCACTGTCTCTAGATGACAGACAGTGACAAACTGGATTTTAGGTCATAGGCAGCCTGCTGTCACTTAAGAGTCTTGAGAGATTGGCTCACAGGAACTCAATAATACTCTTCATCCCTTCTACATTCTAAACCAAACAGAATTAGACAGACAGTGCTATGTGGTAAGAGTTCAGGTCACCTCAAATACTTTGGGCATGTTGCTAGGAGGCTATTCTGTGGAGACAGACATCATGCTTGTGAAGGTAGAGGGATAGTGAAAGAGAGGAAGACCCTCAGCCAGGTGAATTGACACAGTAACTGTAGCAGTGGGTTTGAGTGTGACAGAGACTGGGAGGTGGCATGGGATAGGACAGGGTTACGATCTGTTGTTCACAGTGCCACTATGAGTTGTATTTGACTCAACGTCACCTAGCAACAACATATGGTGGGAGATGGTACTTAAACATATCAAAGTATTTTTACTGGTAAACCTTGGCTGCAGAATGTGACTAGTCATATAATGTGACTTGCCTCTTCAGTCAAGTGCAGGACTGGTCACACACCAGAGAAGAAGCATTCCTCTTTAAGAGGCCAGTGTGTCACTTTGGAAGCAAGATGTGCATGCTTGTAGCACACAGCAGGAAAAAGAGCAAGATCTTGGAGCCAGGAGAGTTGACCCTGAACTTATATGCTCTACTGGAGGCCGGTGGAGCTCAAGAAAGGACAAGAATTAGGAGCTGAATGAAATGGGACACATTAAGCATGGGGGGGGGGGAGGTTTACCACATTAAAAAGACATTTAAAAAAGAACCTATTGGGTCTGTTTTGGGTAATTTCTGTTAACTCACTGTGACCTGTAGGACAGAGTATAGCTACCTCATCTGGTTTCCAAGGCTGTCATCTTTAGGGAAACAAGAAGTTCTGTCTTTCTCCCATGGAGTGGCTGGTGGCCGCATGGAATGACTTGTGGCCCCATGGAGCGGTTAGTGGTTCCATGGAATGACTGGTGGCCCCATGGAGCAGCTGGTGGATTGACCTCCTAACCTTTCACTTAGCAACCGAGTAAGTCAGTATCCTATGACCCTGTGTCAAAGAGTCAGAAGATAATAAGAGAAAACAACTACAAGCCCTTCCCTGTTATTGATCTTAGAAGATATACATGTTGGTAGAAGTTTCTGTTTCATAGATTGAAAGATGAAAAGCAGAATAAAAGTGTCCCTTCTGCTTAATAAAGGCTTCTGGTTGTGCCACATTTGCAGGCCTTACAGGATGTAGAAAACGAAGACAAGCCTAAACCTCCAAAGTTGATAAACATGAATGTTTGAGTGTATTTCAGAACCTGATATGTGTGTTTCCAAGACACTGAGTCTAGAAGTTTAGAAAAGCCGATTTTGCCTTAATGTAATTTGCTTTACAACTACAGCTACCTGAAAATGTTCTTTCATTTTAAATAGCATGGCTGATGAACCAGAATTGCAGGTTGTTTACTTGGAAATGTCTGTATTTGCTGATTAAATATAGTTGATGTAGAGTCATAATGTTCTGAAGGATTATAATTCACCTCTCTCATTTTCTGGTTGTAAGTGTTAACTTTATAATGTTCCTTGTTATGTATTACCAGAGACAGAATCCTTAGCACACTCCTTACAGTCCAATTTCTCCTTGCAGTTTGTGCAGAGAGTGCTTGCGCATGAACTGCTGTGCCCTCAGGGAGGCCCCAGCTGTGAGTACTATTTGGTTCTGGCCCAAACACACCTTCTCAAGAAGGACTATGCCAAGGCAGAGGAATATCTTCAACACGCAGCTCAGATGGACTACCTGGTAATAACTTTTTCTAGGACCTCTTGAAGTTTGAAGAAAGGGTGAACAGAGTTTATTAAAGATGGTGATGACATCCAAGATGGATTTCTGGTGTCCATAAGTGGGAGTTCCACTCCCTTCTGTTTGTTTTCTCAAGTGATCATGCGAAGGACAAAGAAATTGATAAACACAGCTCTTTAACACATAGTGTTTGTCTATTTCAAGTTTTCTGGACTTACCTTTCTCCTTTGTGAATACTATTATGACTATGCATGAATGTTTTTTTCCTTCTCTCCATAGGCAAATATGCAATTTTATTTCAATGCATCAATGTTTTTCTTAATATTTACCCCAAAAGAGAATGGTTTTAAAGAATTCAAGAAAGAAATGAGAGGGTAGATCTAGAAAAATATTTCCCAGTGCAATTGAACTAATTTAGTACTAATAGAAAAGACTTAAATAGCTAATCTAAACGTAAATGTTAAAAAGGATCATTTTCGTATTTTTAACACCACCTTGTCATTACTGCTGTTTTTCACTTTCTCAGAACCCTAATGTCTGGGGCGTGAAAGGTCATCTCTATTTTCTGAGTGGAAATCATGCTGAGGCCAAAGCGTGCTATGAACGAACCATTAGTTTTGTAGCAGATGCTTCTGAAATGCACTTCATCTTTCTGCGTCTGGGCCTTATCTATCTGGAAGAGAAAGAGGTGAGGGATGAGGGTAGAGAATAACTGTAAAAAAGGCCATTTATCTGGGACCTGCATACAATCCAAGCATTAACATCCACCTTATGGGCTGAGAACAGTAATATGATAATGATATTTTTACATTCAGAGATAAAGTTGTCCACTATCAGGTAGCTAGAAATTAATGGGTCCAGAATTCAAACCCAAGCAGTCTGCTACCAGAGCATGTGGTCTGAACCATTATGCTACTGAAAAGGTAGAATTCAGTAAGCTCATGTCCTTGAAAACCCTGGGAGCACAGTATCATGAGTCAGAACCGACTCAACAGCAACGTTAACGTTAATAGGAACATTCTGGAAAATTTTACAGACTGCAAAGGAACTTTGCCAAACTGCTTCTTCAAACACAATGCCTGAGAGAAATTACTATCAAATGACCAAATATACACTTTCTGATATCATTGAAAGCTGCATTTTCACATATTGTTGTTGTTGTTCATTTTCAAAGTCTTTTCCTTGTCAAAGTTGAATGTAGGGCATTAACTATCGCTACATAAAGAAAGCAGCAGGTCATGGGTTTTGCACAGTGGATGTGAAGTGAGCTTCAGGACACAGCGGTCAGTCAGGTGTTCCATGGAACCATAGACAGTCCACAGAAAAGTGCGCTTATTTTCCCTCTCTTTTGCCCAACGGTCTCAAACAGTTTAAATTGGAGGCTGTACATGTTGACTAGTCCTAATTTTTGCTGGTTAGCTATTTTTTCTTGATCTTGCTCCCTTGATTCCATACATTCCAGATTATTCAACAGATTTGTGATAAACTTCCAAGATTAAGGGAAACTTCTGGCTCATTGTTGTTGTTGTTGTTAAGTGCTGTCGAGTCACCTGCGACTCATAGCGACCCTATGTACAACAGCCCTAAACTCCGCTCTGTCCTGTGCCAATCGCACTGTCTCTGACACTCCCATCCCAATTATTCCAGTCCTGAATCAATCCACCTCATAGAGGGCCTTCCTCTCCTGCGCTGTCCCTCCACCCTCCCAAGCATGATGTCCCTCTCTAAGGACGGGTCTCTCCTCACAACATGTCCAAAGTATGTTAGACGGAGCCTCAGAATCCTTGCCTCCAAGGAACCACCCGGTTTAACCCTTTCCAGGACAAATCTGTTTGTTTTCCTAGCAGTCCATGGTATTCTCAATACTCTTCTCCAGCGCCACAGCTCAAAGGCATCAATTCTCCTTCTATCCTCCTTGGTCATTGTCCAACTCTCTGATGCATAACAAGTGATTGAGAAGACCATGGCCTGTATCAGACGCACCTTGCTCTTCAGTACTTTGGAGAGGTCCCTAACAGCAGACTTTCCCATGGCAATGCGCCTTTTAATTTCCTGGCTGTGGGTGCCAAGACTGTTGACTACGGAGCCAAGCAAACTAAAGCTGTGCACAATCTCAATCTCTTCACCATCCATCCTGACGCTGCCAATTGGTCCAGTGGTGAGAATCTTTGTCTTCTTGACATTGAGCCTCAATCCATATTGGAGGCTGCAGTCCTTGACACTCTGCAGCAGGCGCTTCAGGTCCTCTTCAGTTTCAGCAAGCAGGGTTGTGTCATCCGCATAATGCAGATTGTTGATAAATCTCCACCCATCTTGACCCCACATTTCTCCTCATAGAGCCCAGCCTCACAGATAATCTGTTCTACATATAGGCTGAAAAGGTATAGAGATAGGATGCATCCCTGGCGTATTATCTCTCTAAAATCTTGGCTTTTGTTCATTTTACAGTCCTCTGCTCTACCAACTGAGCTATCAAAAGACTCCATGTTCATTGTTTAAGCAAAAAGTAAGCCCCCAAAATACTCAGAAGTTCAGCTATTAAGATCCTTTAAAGATCCTCTTTTCCAGTGGTTCCATAAAGTGGGTCATCCTGAAATGTGCACAACTGGACAAGCTCAGCATCTATATTTTCATGTGATAGTATAGTCAAGAAGCAAGTAGTTTTTGGCTACTTACTGAGACTCTGTTAGGATCCAAGAACATAACTTAATAGTAGTTATTTGAGAGTAGTTCTTGGAATAGACCTTTGAAAATGAACTCCATTACAGTTAATTCATTTTTGCCTGATGTACTAAAACCCTTTCTTTACGAGTTCCTAGGATACTATGATTGATATGATCATCTCAAGTATACTTATTTTCTCACATTTATTAGCCCATGTGTGTTATGTGTCTATCATGCAAGTTACACATTATATGATGTTAATTTTAAGTGGCAGGGATTTTCTTCAAAGCTAGGTAGGATTCAGATAAGCATTGTAGCCAACTACAACTTCCATTGCTTCCAGATAGACTCACATCTTTGGAACTGCTCAGGCCAATGTAAGCCCTTTATTTTGGTCCATCTATATACTCTTATTAAGGGAGCTCTGGTGGCTTTGTGGTAAGGAGTTTTACTGCCAACCCAAAGACACCCAGTTCAAACCCACCATCTGCTCCATGGGAGAAAGATGGACAGCCAGTCTCCTCTGTGTGATTAAATGCCTCTGAAAATTTGCTGGAGGATCAGATGACTTGGTGATAAAAACATCTACTCTTATCAGTCTTCTGGAGTTAACAACCTTAGAGTAAACAAAAACAAAAGGCAATCCATAGATTTACTTAACTTGCATTATTTGAGAGAATACAATTATCATAGGCGTCATGGTTTTTATCCCAGGAATGTGCTGTTTGCTTCCTCTAGAATGATTGTAACTTAACAGTCCTTTCTTTCTGTAGTATGAAAAAGCCAAGAGGACCTACCTGCAAGTTTGTAAGAGATCACCTTCATGCCTTACCTGGTTGGGACTGGGGATCTCCTGCTATCGGGTAAGAGACTGAAGGTCCAAGCGGGCCTTTGCATGCAGCTTGCTGACTGATTTCTTGGTCTTCCCAGCATCTTGAGGGTTTGTGATGGTGGTGGAAAGGTTATCAGAGCAGTCCTCTGATGAAAAGTTGGTTTTCAAAGTTGCTCAGGGAATTGGAGGCCAATTTGAATTAGGAAAAGTAAATCATCCTGAAAGTTCTACAAAATCCTGAACCAGGAAGCTATATAATCATAATAAAATTCATGTTATTTGGTGCAAAAACTATCTTATGGTATTTTCTGCAAGAAAAAAAAGAATTGCTATGGAAGTTGAGAAATCTAGTTAACTTACTATTTACTAAGCAGTGTGGTCTTTCTATGCCCTAGAAAAGCTGCTGTAGCTTCACGAAGGCCTTTGGGCCTCACCCCTAAACATTCTCTACCCACATTCTCTCCTTTCCTTCAGTCTTACAACAAGAAATCTTTCTTGTTACTATCTCCCCTTTAGCCTTAACCCCCTACTCCTTAAAGTTTTCCTTGGTTGATGTTGCTAAACTCTCCTTTCTAAACCAGCTCTTTCTTTAGTTCTTCTCTGGAGTCGTTCCTACACTTAGTAGAAAAGTTGTCTTTATTCCTTTCCTTGTCTTCTCATTCCTGCTGTTACTAGTTTGGGGTTGCGTGTGTGTGTGTGTGTGTGTGTGTGTGTGTGTGTGTGTTTTTAGAAATTTTAGAAGATATTAAAGATGTGAAGGGAACATAAAAGTATCCCCAATCCCACCACTAAGTGATAATCACTATTAATACTTAATTGCATTTTCCTCTAGTCTTTTTTATATGGTTTAAATGTATAAAGTTATAAATAACATATATACTGCTTTTTAGGTTTGTTTGGGGTTTTTTCTTTTCCTTCTTAATAATATAGAGTTAGTATCTTGGAATTTAAAACACTGTCAACTCACATGGGCCCTTTCCTGTCAAGCTGGAGGAGCTCACGGAGGCTGAAGAAGCGCTCTCAGAAGCCAACGCGTTGAACAACTGTAACGCTGAAGTGTGGGCATATCTGGCTCTGGTCTGCCTGAAAGTGAGTGTTTGCGATTCCCTTTCAGGACACAGAGGTGAGGGGCCAAGTAAGCTAGAAGCTGTGGGATGGGTACTGTCAGCCATGACAGCTGAGGTTGGATGAGCTCAGATTTGGTCGTTACACTGATGGCAAAGGCCAAAGCCATGCAACCTTCACTGACCTGTGCCTCAAAAAGTCACACTTTAAGGTGTATTTGTCTACAAAGGAGGTTTGAAACATGGGAATGCGAACGAAGTCAAGGACCAGCAAAGGCGAGGCTCTGCCAGTCTCTGAATCATTCCTTCCTGATGAACTGCTAGCGGAGGGTGCTTGTCCTTTATGCCAGTGGAAAACTGGGGATCGTATTGTGGGAGTTTGTGATAGCTAACCGCTTTCAGGTAATTTAAGAATATTGTTTTAACAACCTGCCTTCTCCATTTATTGATTGTATAGCCATGACAAGTTATTTCCCCTTCTTTTTTAGTTTCTCCATCTGTAAAATGTGATACCCCTCGCCCCCCCACACACACACACTGGAGAAAGGAGCCATAGTTAACCCCTGGATTTGTTTTCTAGATTCAAGAATGAATGAGTCATCTTTTTCACTGGTTCTGAAAGCTCTGAGTTGTCTTCTTAGTGTCTAAATGCCTTCTTCGAATATCTTGGTTAATTTTGAAATTTATTTACCTTTTATCCTTAATATAAAAACTTTGAAAAAGAATTAATGATTGTAAATCACAGTAAACAACTAAAATGAAGTAAAACTTGTAGCCATTACCATCAAATTGATTCCAGCTCGTAGGATGGGGAGAATTGCCTGAGGATTTCCAAAGCTGGAATCTTTACAGATGCAGAGATAGCTGCATGCTTGTCCAGAGTGAGTCATGGGTTGACCAATCTTTGCATAAGCAACTGAGTTCTTAGTCACTGTGCCACCAGGGCTCCTTTTAAAACTCATGCTGTTGTTGTGTACTGTTGCCAAGTCAGAACCGACCCATAGCTGACCCTCTGGCGGGTTTTGAGAGACAGATAATTGCTTGGGAGGAGACTGCCCATCCTTCCTGCATACCTTTGGGATTACAGGCATTTTCTTGCCACTAGGCAGAGCTCCCATAGGAAGCATTTCCCATAGGAAGCATTTTTGAGTGTTAGCTACTAAGGATGACGGAAGAAGAACAGATGCCTTTGAGTTGTGGTGCTAGAAAAGAGTCTTGAACATACCCTGGACTGCCAAGAAACAAATCAGATCGGTCTGTCTTGGAGAGGGCGAAACCAAGTCCCTCTTTGGAGGCTAGGATTTTGAAGCTCTGCGTCACTTTGGGCAGATGGCCAGGAAAGATTGGTCCTTGGAGAAGGACATTATGCTTGGAAGGGTGGATGGACAACGCAGGAGAGGAAGACCCCGGATGAGATGGATTGATACAGTGACTGGGGCTATGAGATTTGGTGTGTCAGAATTAGTGAGACTGGCTCAGGATAGGGGAGGGTTCAGAACTGCTGTACATAAGGTTGCTATACATTGCAGGTGACTTAATGGCACAAAACAATAATATACTATGACAGGTTTGAAAGCAGGAGTGAAATCCACTTCCAGAAACTCTATGAACTTTGATATATGTTGATAGTTGTAGAGGGGCTTCAGGCCTTTTGTTCATAGGGTTGCTATGAGTTGTGCTCGACTCAAAGGCAATCAACCACAACAATTATTAAGAGAAAGTCTTCAAATCTTAAGGGGAGCAAATGACTCATGGTGAGTTCAGAGAAAAAAGAAAGTAATAAAATTATCTTTAAGTTTTTGAAATGGAAGAGGGTTTCTTAAAAAAAGTAAGATATTTGCTATTTTCTCATTATGTTTTCTCGCTCTCCCTCTGAAGTCAGCAGTGGCGAACTGGGAAGAGGTTCTTAACTTCCTTAGGTAGAAATGTTTGAGGCGGAGTTGACGGTACACGATCACCAGCTGCTGCTCTATTTTCTCAGGCTGGAAGACAGCTGGAGGCTGAGCAGGCCTACAAGTACACAATAAAGGTAGGCCCCAGATGCCTCTGGTGAAACCTGGACTGCAGATGGCGCTATACTGAGCCTGGGGAAGCGAGAGGACGGTGCTGGCTTAAATAATGGCTTTCGAGTATTTCATGAGATGACTATTTTTTCTAAAGGCTTTTCATACCATATTTGCTGTTGTTATCCTGATCTGCTAGATTCAGAATAAAAACCCATTAGAGCATTAATGGTGTAGTAGAGGAAGTGTTGAATTGCTACCTGGAAGGCAAGCTGTTGGAACCTGCCAGCTTCTCTGAAGGAGTAAGCTGAGGCAGTTTCCTCCTTGGAAACCTGACAGAGGGTCGCCAGAAGCTGGAATTGACTCAGTGGCAGGGAAGGTTTGGTATTATCATGGTACATTATCACTTTTAGGCCATCTCTGTAAAGAGAATGTAGTTTAATGGAAAGACAGCTAGCCTGAGAGTCAGTAGACCCTGAAGTATGACTCTGGTTTTGTTATTAAATCTCCAAAAACCTTTCTGGGCTTCATTGTCCTTATTTATAAAAAAATGGAGAAAATAGTTTAGTGCAGGGGTCAGCAAATTTATTTTTTCTTTCTTTGTTGTATACCATCGAATTGGATCTGACTGGCACAGAAGGAGATTGCCCCTCCTTTTCCAGCAGAGCATCTGGTGGATTTGAACCACATGCCTTCAGGATTGCAGTGCAGATTCTTGCCACTAGATGACCAGAGCTTCCTGGAAAATTGTTTTTATATAAAGGACAAAACAGAAATAATTTAATCTTTGTGAGACAGACCATCTCTTTCAAAGCTACTAAACTCTGACCTTATAGTACAAAGGTAGACATAGACATGAGCGCGGCTGTGTCCAAAGCCCCCCTTTATTTCCAAATAAAAAGGGCAGGCTGGATTCACTTGCCAGCTCCTGGTCTGTTCAATTAGTTATGAATTCCAAGTAGTGGGGTCTTGAATGGAGGTGGTTCAACATAATTTGGAGTTTCCGTCCTTAGGAAGTTGTTCTGCTAACTCAAAGGAGGTGTTTCTGTGGTGGATGGAATTCACCACTTTCCTTGAGAGAAAAGTGGGAAATTTCCTCTTGTGCTGTTTACAGCCTCTGAAAACTTGGTGGAGGATTAACTGTGATTCAATCTGGCAATGAGGGCGAGAGAGACTTAGAAGACCAGGGCCGATACTGTGTCTCAGCCTCTTTCTTTCTGCTCAGTCAGTTGTAGCATGCAGTTTCCATCATGCATTGTTGCAAGACAGCTAGTTTCGCTCCAGCAGCCATATATGTTTGTTTCAGGCTTGACAGAGAGGGAAAAGCACAGGGCCAAGCTATTTCACCTCCTGTCAACGACCCTTTCCACATGTCCCACCCAGTGACTTGATCTCACTTCAATGTAAGCAGGGAGGTAATGGCTTTTTATCTGGTTGCTTTTTTGTTTAGTACTCAACTAGATTTCTGTTTGTTGTTGTTATGTGCTGTCAAGTCTCCTGCGACTTATAGCGACCCTATGTACAACAGCCCTGAAACCTGCTCTATCCTGTGCCAACTTTATTGTCCGACATACCTACCCTCATTACCTCAGTCACTGTATCAATACATCTTGATGGGCTCCCTCTCTCCATCCCTCCACCCTTTATCTATTACACATCTAAATTTTAAAATAAAGTGCAGATCTAACCGAAGTCTATGATCACTATTTCTTTGTTTCTCTTAGGGGATCAAAAGGGGATACTACACATTGTTGTTGTTGTTAAGTGCTGTCAGTATGATTCATAGCGACTCTATGAACAAAAGATCTGAACTCTTTCTTCCCCCTGTGCCATCCTCACACTTCCTGACACACAAGAGCCAATTGCAGCAGTTACCATGTCAGTCCACCTGGTTGAAGGTCTTCCTTTCCTTTGTTGACCCTCCACCCTATCCAGCAGTCGAGGGAATAGCGCCTCCTAGTGACATGCCCAAAGTATACTACTATACATTAGTCAACTGAAATTGGGTGGTAATGTGAAACTTTTTTAAAAGAAATTTTATTAACTCAGCTCAACTCATTGCTGTCGAATTGGAAATGACTCATAGCTGACACTCTCGTGGGTTTTCAGAGGCTATAAATTTATAGAGGAGATTGCCCTTCTTCCTCTCATGTAGCTGCTTGTGGATTTGAACTACCTCCCTTTGGCCTGACAGCACAACCACTTACCCACTAGGCATCAGAGTTAAAGTTACTGTAAAAAAAAAATGCACAAATAATGTGTTCATACAACTTGATGGATTTTTGCGAAGTGACCAGTACCATAGTGTAAGATCTTTTAATGACATTTCCCTGACATAGAGAATATAGAAAGAGTTCCTTGTTTGTCCCAAGAAACTGTTCTTTGCTGTGATCTTCCAAGTGAGGGAGTGAGGGATGTCCAGAGGTATGTAAGTATGACTTGCATCCTTCTCTTCCTTTTCTCATGCAGCTGAAGTTGAAAGATGAGGCTCTGCTTGCAGAGATCCACATGGTACAGGAAATGGTTGGTTTTGGAAATCCATCTTTTTTACATCATTACAACTGAGGAATTTTCTGAGTCCCTTCCCTTCCTGGAGAAATTCAAGACAAAATATTTCACCATATGATGCCTGAAGCTGTAGAACAGAAGAATCATCATAAACAGTGGGCCATTAATTTATGTCTATTGTTGGTATTACTGTAGGTCTTACTGATAAGTTGTGTGATAATAAAAATATATCTAAGAGATTAAAAATTCATCAGTGTAGTTCTGGAGTTAATTAAAGGTAGCTGAATTATTCGTGGGGTCACTCATTAAGGTTTCTGATGGAATTTTATCAGGAACACTCCTGGAGAAAGTCAGCTGCTGAGGTCTCTGAGGCTCATGAATTCTAATTTAGTAAGACTTAAGCGTTAGCCTTCATTAGAATTGATGCCAAGGAACTGTTCCACTTCCTGGGGTCAGGAGCAGAAGGACATCTCTGGAGTGCTGAAGAACATTCATTGGCTTTGCAAGAAGTATTGAGAAGTTTAAAAACTAGAATGGAGGAAGCACTTCAGAGACAAACTAAAGGGAGAATCTTAATTGAAACATTGACTGGACATCAACAAATGAATGGATAGAGAAGCTGTGGTGTATTCAATAATGGAATACTAGGTAGCTCTGAAAAAAGGGAACTCATAAAATACTATATAAATTGGGTGACCCTGGAGGACATTATGCTGAGTGAAATATCTCAGTCACAAAAGGACTAACACTGCATAATGCCACTGTTGTAAAACAGGCCTGACCTGGGGACTGGGGGGAAACTAAGAAAAGAGGAGATAAATAATGTACACTGCAGTGAAACAGATGAGGGAAAGAACTGTCTAAAAGAAATAAATGATTAGGTATTATTTTTTCATGACAACAGTCCAGGATAAGAGATGCATGGCAAAGTGGAGTGGGAAGGGGGGAGGAAACTGTGCAACAATGAAATAATTTTATTTTTTTTTATTATTTTATTACTTTTGTGTGCGTGTACCGTCAAATCAGATCTGACTGGTACAGGAGGAGATTGTGCCTCCTTCCCCAGCAGAGCATCTGGTGGATTCGAACCATGTGTCTCTGGGATTGTAGTTGTAGCTCTTTGTCACTAGGCCAAAAATAATTTTTTCTTAAAGAGAAAAGTGAATGGAGGAGGGGGAGCGGGGAGGAAAATGTGCAACTATGAATGAATGGAAATCCAAGTTCTTGGTAAACTTTTGTTAAAAAGTTTGTTACAAGTTCCTTCTCATAAAGTCAAGTATTCCAAATGATCTGTTCTGCATATAGATTGAAAAAGTATGGAGACACCAGGGTGAAGTCTCTCTCAGGGAGGAGCGATAGGGAATGGCAAAGGACACACTGACAAAGGAGATTAATCAGAACTGGCTTTGACAAGCACTGTG